CATGCTTTCAAGTCCTGAGGTAAATACATAGGCACAGATTGAAGGAAGGTCCCTATTGCTTGTGCCGGTTCTATCCGGTAAACCCCCGTTGGTCCGGCTTCTTCCAAGCAGGTTGATGAGTCACTCAATGAAGGACAGCCAGCCGAAGGCTAGTGCCCTCAACTTGGCATTTTTCTAAAGGCCAAGGTATTTTTCTAGCCTTAACCTTGAAAGGGCAACTGGCGCGCTATTGTACATTGCTGGTGACGGTACCGAGCCTTAACCTGCAAGGAAACACGCACCATATGTAGTTGTTCGCTTTGATAGCCTTAATCTTACTAGGGAACCGCACCATATGTACGCGACACACACCACACACACACCACACACACACACACACACACACAACACACGCACAAGATAAGCTTCAAGGACAGCAGCCGGAGGCTAGTCCTCAACTTGCATTTTTCTAAGCAAAGGAGGGTTCTGATCGGTGCCTTAACCTTGCAAGGGAAACCATACCTTATGTACCCGTAACCTTAACCTTGCAAGGGAAACATGCACCATATGTACGCGACACAACACACACAACCACACACACACACACACACACACACACAACAACACCACAACACACACACACACACACACACAAAGATAAAGTTCAAAGCCCTCAGCTTGCTAGCTGTAGTTGAGGAGCAAAAGGCTCAGCTTGCTAGTGGTAGTTGAGGGCAAGATGGTGCTCGGTGAGTCGAGTCAAGTCAAGTCACGCTTAGGACGTTGTTTGCATAATCCAAAAGGTCAACTCTGGAACCAGCCACGTATGGTACCAGCACCCCCACACTCTCACCCAATGAGTGCGACCACTGCATGCGCTGCCTAGCTTAGCCCCCCTCGCTCCTTAACGTATCTACTTTCTACCTGGTAGTAGTATTTATTTCTCATGACTGAGCAGGGGCTTGTCTATGGAGGCTTAACTTATTGGTTTCCAGTTTGCACTGCTGAACAATTGAGCTGGCCCACATCGGGATCATGATATCTCCAGGGCAACCTCTAGGTACTTGGCTATCAGGTGGGGAGGAGTGAAGAGGGCACAGTGTTGCATTGGTGTGAGCTTGTCTGGGAGCAACGAAAGTCTTCATGACGTTTTCCAGAGACAAACCAACAACACCTAGTAGAGAATCTCGGATCCTCCAGCCATGACTGGATGTGCAAAAGCCTTGGCTGCGTGGGTGCAAAGCGGTGGGTGCAAAGCCTGCCTCGTTGCAGCTCTGAGGCCCACCGAAACACACCGCTGCCCGTTTGCACTACGGCTTACCTCGCAATAACGGATACCAAGAGACGACTTGCGATGCCATAGACCAAGGTAACCGAACGAACAAGAGGAATGCTCAGTCTTACTGGGACAAACACAAGCTCCAATGTCCAACATGCCACACTGTGTATTACTGGAGGTTGGCTCCCACAAAGAAGCAGCATTGCGTCCACTGACATCCCGGAATCCAAAGTCCCAATCTTTGACAACCCCTTGAGTTAGTCATCCCGTTGGTGCCGTTTCTGAATTCGCTGTGGTGATTGTTGCAGTGAATCTGAGTGTGTTCTCTTGGACAAAACTGAAGCCAGTGACTCTCCCTCTGAGCTGGTTGCTCCAAAACTAGCCGAGCCGTCAGATGGGGATGCCTTGCTTTTGCTGGGGCCACCTTTGTTGCGCGTGTTTCGATAAAAGTGGGAAATCTACAAGCAACGAATGGGTGAGAAAGATCACAAAAATCATATCTCTGCGCCAAGAATGCAATTCAACTTGTACATACCTTATTCCTCGCAGTTTGTTGGTCCACTTCTTCCCATGTGTCATCTTCCCATTTCAAAAACCGACCATGCGATTCTTGGATAATTGTGACAATACGTTCAGCAATTGCTGTCTTTCCATACTTCCCAGCAGCCTCATATTTGTCTCGAAACATGTCTGCGATATGTGCAGCTCTCACATTGCCCGTGTGATTTGTGGTATGACGTCCCCGTCCGAAGAGGACATCAAATCGATGGGGGACTATGGTATCAGCTGTATTCTTCTTGCCCTTTTCTTCCTGCTTTCGCCAGCTCCGGATCCATTGAAGATGATTCTCCAGATTCATGGGTTGATTTGGATGGAATGGGAGGCAATCTGTTGGGATTCCAAAAGTCTGCAATTTGAATTTGACCTGTTCAAAGTCCCCAAAGTGGACGCATACTTTTGCTCTCACTTTCTCCGGGAGTAACCATCGAATGCCACCAACCAAAGGACGAAGATATTCTTGGGTCAACAGGAAATGGACACCAGCCACCTTGTGTACCCCCCCTGACCTGAGCCCTTTAATTCGCTGAAGATTATGAAGAAAAGTCTGTGGTAGATTGAGCAGTGATTCTCCAATAAGACAGATTACCACAACTATGCCCTTCCTTCGTGCAACCTCAGCTTGGAGAAAGCTCATTGCAAAAAATGCTTCGACGCGTAGCTACAAGTAGTTTGATCGACAGGGAAGGCAAGATTCTGCATTTAGACACAAAGGAGCATGGCAAGGGCAGTTCCATCCAATCACAGCTCTAGTAGAAGTACTCACATGAGAATTCATTGCTACAGAGTTGTCCCTGTAGCCAGGGCATATCACCAAGACCAGACGGCCAGCAGCATCACGCACGGGCAAGAACTGCCATGCCCCTGATGTGAGAACCTTCATGTCATCTTCACTAAGATCACTCATGAGTAGATTTCTGCCCAAGGCAGGGCCATCACCAAACAGCTCCAATTTGACCTCAAAATGCTGCACAATTCTCTGTGCCGACGACTTGACATCAAAATCATCGCAGCGAAGAAACATAAGGCGGAAATCCTTGTCCATCACATACTCTTTGTTCAAATACTTGGCTTTTTCATAGGCCTTCCGGTGAGGTATCTTTCGAATTTCCAGCTCCAATTGCGCTAGCGAAGCATCAACATCCTTAGGGTCCTTGCTCTCATGGGCCATTCCATATAAATCAAACGTATTTCGCTCCTTCTCTTCAAACGACAGCTTCTCAAGTTCATCGGCCAAGAGCTTATCAATAAGATCTGCCTCGTCAGAAGACGGAGGGAAACGTTCCAAGGAAAGACCTGCATCCTGAAAGGTCTTGTCCCTTTGAACATTCGATTCTCGAGCCACAAAGTCCATTACTTCTGACGATGTTGTATCAGGAGCCAGCAGATCACACATTTCCAGAATGTCTGCAGTGTTCATATCTGTGAATGCGGTATCAGTAACAACACTGCTGTCGCTGTCGAGGACTGGTAGGAAAGGCTCCATGGTTGGAGCTGATCTGGAATGCGTTTTAAAATCTACATGTACTTCTTCTGTTCACAGAGTATCTGTATCTGATGCTACTAGCGGGACATGGGCTGGTGTGCGGAGCGATCGAGAAGCCATCTCACCTCTCTCCCCCCTTTACCCCCCTTTCCCCGCCGCCATCCTCACTCCCACGCCTGTGATTCTTGGCCCCCCTACTAGCTAGTACCTCCCCTAAACCCTCCATTGAGTTTCTTTTTTCAATCTCCAACTCACGGACGAAGCCATAAAACTGGCACTCAAGATCCAGCCCTGAACCCAACAACCTATCATCTGGCAGTGCGACACAATCCTTCGGTTCAGCCTGGGGCAGTGCGCAACGGTACCGAAGAACCCGAGCGGCGCTATTGTATCAAAATAGAAACTTTGTGGATCGGTAGAAACTCGCAGCTCTATCTGGTAGATAGCTAGAAGTCAATGACAAGGGAGTACTTTACTGCTAGAGGGTTACATACATTCTTTACATTTCTATGCTTACACCTACTGTACGTAGTCACGTCACAATTAATAGTCGATCGATCGATCCATCCGCCGTCCTATCAAGTTAGTATTGTAGCAATCCGGTGCTTCTAGATTAAACCAAGCAGGTCCAAGGCAACAGTTGCTACCAGAAGCAACAGCCCCAGGACGCTGGGCTCAATCGAGGTTTCATGTTGCGCCACCATGAGTTTGCTTTCTTGTTCCTGTTTGGCAACGACGGTCAGGGTTCCAGTGAAAAGGCTGCAATGCCGTGATGCTGGAGGAGGGCCAGGTCGTTGTTTCGCATTGTCGATTTGGCGACAAGTACCCGTGACAAGACTGCAATGTCCCGCGGCACGACAAGGAGTAGGTCGTTCTAGGCTCCTTATCCTAACGTGTGCTGGGATAGCATTGGTAGTTTCCTGTTTGGGCTTTTGAGGTGACTTGTTTGTCTGAGACACATGGGTCTGCAATGGCCCCGGAGCTGTTGACTGTGATGTCGGTGCGTACGAGGGAACCTTTGGCTGATGCGCCGCATTTGCCTTGGGAGCCGCACTTGTCTGAAGAGATAGTCTTGACTGCGAAACAGTTGACTCAAACCCCCTTTGCGGAGATACCAATGGCTGAAACGACATCCTTCGCGGAGATACCTTTGGCTGAAATGAGCAGAACTGGGGCACCTTTGGTGGTGGGGGTGCCCTTTGTGGAGTCATCTTTGGCACAAATACCTCTGTATGGAGCGGTGAAGCCAGCTGGGACACGTTTGATTGATGTACTTCTTTCGACGGCGATAGTACATCTGCTCCTGGAGACTCGGCTATCGGCAGGTGCACCCTCTTCAGATCCGTCTCGAGACTACTGTGACGACGTGGAGACTGCATGGTCGCCACGTCCTGCTGGGCAGGTTGAGGATGCCAAGAGGCGCGACGATTCGACGTGGTTGTCATCTTGTGTCCCCTTTGTCGTTCTTGGGCAATGTGTTTCTTCCACCAGTCGGGTAGAGCCGTAGAGGATCTCCGCTTGCCATTAGTCGTCTGTTCCTGTTTGAGCTGTGGATTGTTCAAAATCTTTGGCGCCAAATCAGCAATCGTGGCGATCCCAGGGATGGCTTGTCTACGCGGTGGTGAAGTCTGCTTTGGAAGACTCTTGCTCTGGTTACATTGTGGAGATCTGATATCGTACCTCATGGGTTCCCGGAGAAATCCACTGGATCGGGACTCCCCGGAGCTTTCACAATCCAAAAGGCAACTGCTGTCGCTGCTGCTATCGCTGTCACTGTCGGTGTCGTAATCGAAGTCGCTGTCATCGGATTCCGTGTCATCACCACTGCTTGCAATTCGATAATACGGCCCATCCAGAGGCACGAGCATCATCTTGCTTTCGTACGTGCGACACAAATGGGTCTGAAAGTCCGATGGCAATGTTTCCAGAGAACAATTCGAAGAGTCTTGATTCGTGGCGAGACTTTGGAGTGAATCCCGAGACTGGTTTCCAAAGACAATGGCCGTGGCAAGGTCTTCTACATTCTTCGAGGAATCAACGCTCCTGCTGCCTTCTTGATGACGAGCTTCTCCCGAGGACGAAACTGAGGAGGATAGCGCCATGGTCCCCGGCAAAGCACAAGCAACAACCCAGAGGGGTCTACCGTAGCGTTCTGGGCAAAAATGACGCTGGAAACGAAAAAGTGAGCAGTCGCCAAGGAGACTCGACTCCGGAAATTTGGCGACGAAGGGAAATGGGGAACGGTCAACGGTTGATGGAGTATAACAAGATTTCGATCTTACTACTGTCAGCGTTCTCTCAAAAGATCCGCAAGCACTGAACGCTCACTCGGAACAGATCGGGACAACAAGCCAATTGAATTCGAAGTTGAGTGCTGTGCCATCCTTACATCAGGTCCTTTCACGTGCAAGGACCTCACCTTGGCCATGGGAGACTGGTTGCCAAGCACGCTGCGTTTGACGCTCATGTTCTACTGTATCATGAGCCGCTCGCAATCGGTTTACAGCTTTTGTGGCGGCCAATCTGAGTTCTGCCCCAAATATCAACTATATCCTCCCCTACGGATCCATCCTCCCAGGAAGAGCCCGCATCGGCTTGATCCTCTATCCATGAAGATCAAAGTGGGCATTGTAGGCTTACCCAATGTTGGGAAGAGCACTCTCTTCAACGCTCTTTCCAGAAAGTCGATTGCCCAGGCTGAAAATTTTCCTTTTTGCACCATTGAGCCCAACGTTGCTCTCATTGCTGTTCCAGACCCCAATTTGCCAGCATTGGCCGCATTGGCCGCCAGCAACAAGGCGGTTCCTGCGACAATGGAATTTGTGGATGTGGCAGGACTGGTAGCAGGTGCATCCAGAGGCGAAGGTCTGGGCAACCGGTTCTTGGCAACCATACGAGAGTGCAACGCGATTTGTCACCTTGTTCGGTACTTTGACGACAATCAAATTGTCCATGTTGACGGCCGTGTCGACCCCCGAAAAGACGCCGAAGTGGTAAATTTGGAATTAGTCCTGGCAGATATTGCACACATTGAAAGACGCCTGGAAAAGACTACATGCCAAGGGGTGGAACGCGAGACTCTTGAGTCATTACTCCCCGAGCTGCACAAGGGAATCCCGGCAAGAAGTGTGGGCCTTTCCCCTAGTGGAGTGTTTGCTATCAAATCCATGGGACTGTTGACGCTGAAGCCTGTCATTTACGTTTTTAATGTGGATGAAGTTGACTTTTTGTTGGCAAAAGAAGACACCATGGCGAATGCTGGTCAAATTGTGGGCGAGATTCAGTACTGCGACCCTAGCCGCGCTACTTTTACTGTCGTGAGCGCCAAACTAGAAGCAAAGATTGCCTCTCTTGCAGATGAGAAGGCTCAGCGAGAGTACTTGGTTGGAATGGGTGTAGATTTGGATGACAAGGCTCCATTGGATGACCTTATGAGCTACAGCGTTCTTCCCTCGATGGTGAAAGATTTGCTAAATCTGTTCCTGGTTTACACGGGGCCAGGAGTTCCACCTGAGCGGTCTCGGACCACCAAAGCTTATCTGTTCTCCAAGCATCAGCCACCAAATTGTGTGCAGCTTGCCGGGAGACTTCATGGGGACATTCAAAAAGGATTTATCCGTGCGGAGGTCGTTCCTGCCTCTGTCCTACTACAGTATTCCAATTACAATGAAGCAAGAGCAGGCGGGGCCATTCGAACAGAGGGCAAAGACTCAACCTTGAACGAAGACGATGTTGTGATGATCAAGTGGAGATAGCATTTTTGGCCTGGCAAACTGGTAGACAAGCAGCTTTGACGATTTGATTCTATGACGTCAGTCTGAAGATCCAAAGATATGACACGCCGATCATCACAAGATCCAAGATTGAGCCCGCTGCCTTCCTTTCGACTGGCTATGTCATTGCAGCGTTAGAGCCAAGCCACCTTGCGAGAGAGAGCATAACTCCAAAGCCCTTCGTTTTACTAAAAAGGACAACAGCAATTCATCCCACTATGAGACAACAGTTGTTCTGCTTCCTTGTGACTGCTCTTCTACCAGTTATCTCGGCTGCATTCTTTCCAACGTTCGGGAGCCCTTCGTTCGTCGCATCCAGCCTGGTGTCCCTTTCTGCTTCAACGACTGAGGAGATGGCAACAGAGGTGAAAGTAGGAGACAAGCTACCATCGGTGAAACTTATGGAGCTCAAGTCACCGGAAGGAAAACCAAAGGTTGTCAACCTATCAGACTTGATTGCAGGCAAGAAGGTCGCAATCTTTGGTGTTCCCGGAGCCTTCACTCCTGGATGTTCAAAGTCGCATCTCCCATCGTTCATGGATGCACAAGCTGACTTGAAGGACAAGGGAGTGGATCTCACCATTTGTATCGCCACAAACGACGCTTTTGTCATGGAGGTAAGGACTTTTGGATTTGACATTGCAACGAATTGGTGGCTGGAAGTTGGTCATTTTCGTTGCTCATAACATGATTGCTGCTGTTGCTAGGCATGGGGTCGTACATCTGGAGGTGCTGATGCTGGTATAGTGTTCTTGGCGGACGGATCGGCCGAATTGACCAAAGCATTGGGGCTTGCCATGGAGTCCCCGGCGATGGTTCGCACCACGAGATTCAGTCTCATCGCTGAAGACGGAGTGGTCACACACTACTTTTCGTCCAAGGAGCAATCATCAGACACATGGGCGCCCGCTGTTTTGTCTGCTCTGTAAGATCGAAGTACAGAATGCCCCTTAGCAAGCAATTCATAGTAAGCAACTATAGCTGCGATAAGCTCAGATTGTACATTTGCACTTACCGTAGAGTATAAGAGTTATAATTCCGAGAGTTGGTGGTGGTATAAGAGAACTCGGAGGGTTGCTTCTGGTATATCGCTGCAATTGGAGGGATCTCTCACTGTTGGCGGAGACGTAGACAGATAAGCATGAAGGCGTAGATGTAATGTTATGCAAAAGCATGCTCCCGAAAGCGTTAATTCACAATCTCAAGCTTCCTACTCCATCTCAGACTTCGACGGCGAAATCAACACGTAACCGTCAACCTTGAGCCGATACAGGAGTTCTTCCGTACCGGTACCAGTCACTTTCTCGGTGTTGTGCAAGAAAGAAGACACGGAATTCAAGATAGGTGCACTGATTGATTGGTTTGTGGTGCTCTTGGTGGTGCACACGGTTAGTGCCGCTCATGCAAAAACGATCATGTTGTCTCGCTGGCAGTGATCATAAGCTGACACGAAGACGGTATCGCGTTAACAGTGGGGCTGCCTTGTGGCAAGCACTAGTTGGTGGTCAGCCTTGGCCAGCAGCACACACCCTTCTCTTATGTCTTGTAGTCGTTCAATCTTCTTCTTTAGTTGGTCGGATGGTTAGTTCCTATCAAAGTCAAGGTAGAAGGTCTGTCAATCACTATGTCCATGGGTGACTCTGGAACACTTGGGCCACACTGTTGCCACATAACTTCATGTCAGCCTTCCCCAGCGCCCTGTGCCTGGAAGCATTCGCTGTGCCATACCCCCAGGATGAGAACATTCCCATTGGCATAGTCGTTGACAACTGAAAGCTAAGACTGCGGTTACACATTCCTTTCCCCTCTCTTCACCATGTCCTAACAGAGGCTGTATATCAGTAGTTTCATAGTTAAATAGTGGGCAGGCTGGCCTACCGGTAGTGCCATTGGCTGTTCCTTGTCTTGCTATTTGTCATGATACTGGTAGAGGGAGTTTTGCTCGCATATTCTCAATCGATGGGATCATGCCAAGCAGATAATACGGTACCGTAAAACTACATGTATCGGCCCCTTCGTTTTGTCGGTGATGCATGATAGTTAATGGAGATCCGAATAACGGACCAAACATTGGCAATGCATGGAGTTGGTTCAACAGGCGGAAAAGATAGCTGCCGTGGAGCTGTATCATTCGCTGGATGAATATATCACGTAGATGCTCCATCTTGTTTTTCCCCTTCTTCATCCAGCTCCATAGTAAGTTGTTTGCGAGCATGTTTGGCTTCTTCAGGGTATGGTCCGTGATCTTTGGTGGGTCGATAGAATCGCACGGAAAGATATCTACAGAGTCAGATTCAAGGATTTTGTTTGCATGAACTCGCGCCAAAAGCCCATCGACTTGGTTTGTGGTTAGTTGTCGGTGGGCGTCGTTCCATACATGTAGCAGCGAAGTGGGCATGAAGCACGGCGGGTCCACGAACCATGAACACAATCTCTGAGCGAATTGTGTATTGGAATACTGGGATCACCATGAGCCAATGGGATGGAATCCATAGCCTGACTTGGTTGCTTGTTATACAGGTAGTTGTTCTTTGCTGGATTGGTAATGGTTGCCTCTCTTCAATATATTATTGGGAGCATTCCTTATTGATTCGATTCCATGGCCAACACACTCGATGGTTGAACTTTTAAACCCAAGCTAGTGGATGGATCCAGATTGAGATTCATCCAATAGACTTCAGGTTCAGAGGATGGGTTGGACTGAGACAGATGAATGCGCCTTGGATTGATGATGTGGGCACCTCCAGCTGCAGTGACGATTTGGACGTGGGTATCTGCTGCAAGTGAATCTTTACAAAGAACAGCTCCCGCTTCCCTTACTCCATGCAGCGACCCTTCTTTCGGTTATCCTGTGGCTGGCTAGTAGCTTGGAAGAACTCGTCCTACCAGCAGGCCTCCGCTGAAGCTTCACTAACATGCTCCCCATGCATGGTCACTGACAAGAAAATGACAATCGGTGGGCAAGGATCCGAGCGGTTGGATCCTTCTTTTGTACCTTTAACCTTAGTAAAGATTTGTTCGCAGATCTAGATAGATGACTCATCGGACTCAACTTTACCAGTCACAAAGCCAATCCAAGAGAGGCATTCATTCGGGCGGTCCACTTTCGAAGCCAAACGGATAACCATTTCCTTGTCTTTTTGGGCTTGTCGATTGATAGAGTTGTTGTTGTAAGGGGACCGAAAAGGAAAGAGTTTGGACTATGGGTCTCACATTCTCCCGAGTATGGGAGCGCATGGTAAGAGCGCTGCAGCTGGTGCTCTGTTGGTGGAGGTGGACGGAAGATCCGTATTATTGGCGGGTCATTGCTGTACATCCTACATGGCCCAGTAGGAGGATACCCGGCAGGTCACTCACCCTCTTCTTTATCCTTCCATTGCATGTAACAGTTTGGCAAGAAGGAGATGCGAATCTTGATGGTTGGTCTTGATGCTGCTGGAAAAACCACCATCTTGTATAAGCTGAAGCTTGGTGAAGGTGAGTGGATAGTCCGGTCATTGGCTCTGGTCTCTCTTACTTGCTTCCGCTTCTGGTGTGGACGACTAACATTTTGTTTCTTGCTTTATTTTATCTTTTCAGTTGTCACCACCATTCCGACCATTGGTATGTGATCAGTTTGAGTGTTTCATGAAGTTTTTCTTTTTTGATCCATGCTCTAATTATTGTTTATTCACGTGACTACTACTACTACCACTACCTTGATTAGGATTCAATGTGGAGACTGTGGAATACAAGAACATTTCATTTACAGTGTGGGATGTGGGTGGTCAAGATAAAATCCGACCCTTGTGGCGTCACTACTACCAAAATACCCAAGGACTGATCTTTGTGGTGGATTCCAATGATGCTGACCGTATCGATGCCGCCCGAGACGAAATGCACAGAATGCTCAACGAAGATGAACTCCGTGATGCCGTCTTGCTGGTCTTTGCCAATAAGCAAGATTTGCCCAATGCCATGAGTGCGGCAGAAATGACAGACAAGCTGGGACTCCATGGTCTTCGTCCATCCTACCGTCAGTGGTACATTCAGGCATGCTGTGCAACAACCGGTGACGGTCTGTACGAAGGACTTGATTGGCTCTCGGCGACATTGGTCAAGAAGAAATAAAGATATATTATGTATATCTTTGGTTTGGAATGGAACGACAAAAAAGGAAAAAGAATGAATAGCTGTTGATTGATTGATGTGATTAGAAACTCCGGTTTGGGTTGTGCTCGATTTTTTTTTACAATCCACTAAATTCTCGTACTATTTTCCCGTGATACGATATCTGGCGGTCGTTGGAGCTTCCGTTTGGTTTGTGCTTGTCTGGTTCCAGAATGCCCTTTGGAACCAAATATTCGGCGAACAAGACAAGCAGACGCGAATCTCAAACGACGGCCCTATTGGTCGCAGCTCTCGATCGCGTTTCCGCTTCTGTAAACTCGCGGTCGTTTTCCAGTGCTGCTTCGACTCGACTCGTGTGTGCCTTCTCCTTGTATAGTCAATCTGCTGGCCCTCTCATATACATGTTGTACTTGCGAGAGCATTTATTTGACGTGCCGTCCAGGACATCCCAGCAGTGACCGTACCATCCAGAACAATCTTCACCACAACAGCATGGAGGCTCGGCACGGAAATCAAGTGTCGTAACGATGGCGGATCGAGAACGGACTGTTTTGGTTGAAGGTATCTGGCCTTTTGCAGAACTCCGTTGAGGTTGCAGTCATGCTCATAGATTTGGATGAGTTTCAGCCTGAAGGCGATCCTTGTTTCGTTCTAGCTAGCTAGCGGCTTCGTATCATCATTCCTCGTACAGGGTTCCACAGAGCTCGGGCCAACCAGAGAAAAGGGGACGGTCGGGGCTAAGGAAGGGGAAGATAAGGCTGACGATACTGAATTGGAACTGACCAGTGGGTGCTTCTGGTTCCAACTTTTGCCTCATTTTTGCTTTTCATCCGCCGACATGCCGTGTGTGGTTATGCAGCTGTCCAACGATGATCCAGAGAGGGGAGCTACCGGTTCGCACCTCCAAGGGTCCGGATGCTCTGTGCTCAGCTTTGAAGCTAGGAACCATACTGAGTAGAGACCTTCGGAGGGACATCTTGACTTTTCTTTGGCAATGAGCGAATGTCGTCAATGAATCCAATGCTCAACTTCTTTACAGTCTCAAGCAATCGCAGGCTTCTCCTCTAGAGTATCACCCATTCGTCTGGTCCAAAGCTCATAGATCTACGAAACGTAGAGTGACAGTCGAGAAGCTCGCTGTGAGCCGATGGCGGGATTCAAGAATGGCAGTCTAGCCCAGCGAACCACGTCGTGGAAAATGCAGTGGAAACTGCGCGTCCTGAGTGACGCCACGCTGACGTTTCAAAGGCAACAACACGAACTGCCATCACTGCATCCAACGGGCACTTCGCATCACCAATCTGTCGAGCTGCCTCATCTTTTTTGTCTTGTCATTGCAGTTAGCCACGAGAGAACACTTTCGCTCAGTTATCCATTTTAAAATTTGATACTTGACATCAAGCATCCAATACCTGCACAATCAAGAAACCAAGCCATGGCGCTCTGCACTAGTCGTCATTCATCCAGCCTGCTTCAAAGAAATGGCCGTCGTCGCCGTACCAGCAGTGTTGATCGTCCCAGACGTTCTCTCCTGATCTCGTCGACTTCTGAGATAGAAGATTGCTCTAGTGATGAAATGGGAACTCCTAAATTGATGGAGCCGCCAACAGCGCTTAAAGTTACGTCTCCTCCTACTCTGAGCAGCACAAAAGTGTTGGAATGCAAGCTACAGACCGTCAAGCTGTTGACATACAACGGTCAAAACCGAAGGAACTCAGCGCCCATCCTTGTTCCGGTTGGCGTCGACGATGAAAGCAAATGTGAATCTGACTACGACAATGACATACTAGACCTGCCTACAAGATCCGTCCCAGAGCATCGCTTGAAACTCCAACCCCTTTACACGAGCAAAGGAGGAGCAACCAATCCCTCAAATCAGGGAGGTGCTGAGATTCAAGACAATTGGATCCCTTCCATTTTAGGTTGCACTTTGGCCGTGGTGGCCATGGCTCTGGATATGAATGGGATCATCTAGCAACTTGATCTCCTTTATCGTACGCGCCCGCACACCAACGAACCACTTTTGATTCCCAATAGATTCAACCTCCCTAGCCACGACAGGCTCTGAAGGTGACTCGACCTTCACTTATGCACAAACTCGCGGTAGCACTATCCTCTAAACTCACCTCACCCGCACTGTTGAGTATCCACCAGAAACCTTTGGTGACATCTATCTCATAAAGCAACCTTAGTAGAACAACCGCTAGAAACTTGCGTTTTGCTTCTCCGACTCTGCTGTTCTTGCTCTCTTCCTCAACTTGTAGAAGATTGACTGGAGTGGCCAGCCAAGGGCGTCACTGCTCAACATTCCACCTTGCATCGTCTGCCTTGCTTCTCGACCAGCAGACCGCAGACTATTTGAATTCAATGATGCCGAAGGTTCTCATGTGCGTGATTCCGTAGCAAGTGCTATCCAATTCAAACTTCTTGAATCTAGAATAGATCATTCTTCATGTTCAAGCTAACCAAGAATTGTCCATGGCAGTCAAGATGACAGAAGATGATTCTTTCTTTCTTTCAGAGATCATCCATTCTGATTGGTCCTTCGATGGCGTCCCTAGCTACGGTTGCTATCCACCCCAGGTTTTCCATGCTGGAAACTTTGAGGCATCCACTATCCCTTGCTGGCCCCTTACGAAGACAGCCTCCGCGCTGAAGAGGCAAGTGTCTCGCTAGCTAGACGAGGCGACGGTGCTACTTTCTGGGACTTCATGATTTTCTACTTGTATGCTCACTTAGTCAAAGACTTCAAGCGGCATCCACAGTAAATGTTTGGAAACTGGTTGCTTTCCCAGCTGACCATTTCGTCAACTGGGTATATGAATAGGGACAAGTTTGAAATGTAAAGATGAATAAATAATAAAAGTACAAGGTCGCCCCTGATCCGATTGGGTTTCATGAATGCTAGCACGTCAGAGCATCGACGCAATAGAATGCCGCCAAAGAAACTAATAACACACGGTGCAACAGGAGCATTCAACCTTGGGAGCTTTGCAATCGGCAGTCAGCTTTTCCAAGGAGCCATTTTCCATTAGATCACATACTTGACTTGGCATGGCACCAGCAAGATGGTTCATTTGCAAGTGCATATCTTCGAGGGTTGTTAGACTCGCAAAGGACGAAGGTACTTGTCCGTCTATACGATTGTCTTGCAAGGACACATGGACCAGTGGCAAGTCTGCCAAAAATCCCGGCAGGTTCCCTTGAATCTGATTGTGCGCCAATTTGAGAGTGTGTAAACTCGTCATGGTGGACCATTGAGTGGGTATGGTTCCCGTCAACGCATTGCCGTCTAATTGGAACCATTCCACATTAGACAAGGCACCCATGCCAGGGGGCAGGGGCCCGTGTAGATTGTTTCCTGCCATTTTGAGAGTGACTGCAGTAAGTAGCACAAATTGGTCAATCAGAAGCAGAAGAAAGCCAGAGGGAGCGAAGAGAAGGTTAGAGCACTGCTGATTCGGCTCCACCAGAGCAGCTTGGCAAACAGAACCACACTCACCTAATTTATCCAAGAGAGCCCAGTCTTCGTCATCCGGCAGTGTTCCAAAGAATTTGTTGGCAGTCAGATCCAGAAAGGTCAACGCCTCCAACTGATGCGGCAGATTCTCCACCGTGGATTCCAAATGATTCTGTCGTAGATTGACATGTTCCAGTACGGTGTTGGCCTGGGGCAGATCATCGTAACTTGGCAGCTGCCCTCCAATCTGATTGTAGCTCAAATCCAACGACGTCATGGCGGGCAGTGCAAACTGGGAAACAATTTCGGGTACCAATCTACCCACGAGCAAGGAATGGGACAAATCGAGACTGGTGACGTGCTTTTGGCCATTGCAGGTGACTCCGTACCATTGGCACACGGATGCCGCTCCCGTAGTCCACGTACTGTCAAATTGCATGCGGTTGTTGGATTCCTCCTCGGTCGGGTTTGCGTTTGCGTCTCCTCCCAATCGTCGTCGCCCCACAAACGCCTCTTCAATGGTGAAAAAGAAACAGGCCAGGGCGTATCGTTGCAAGAGTTGAATCCCCTGTTGGTCGGGTGTCCCGACATTGTGCGTGTTGTCGGGATACTCGGGAATATCTAGTTCCGCCGTGTCTTCGCTGGCCAGCCACTCTAGCGCCTGAGAGTGTGGTGACAATTGCACATCAAAGGCTTCCGTGTTGACCGTCACCTTCTTTTCCAAAATGTAGGCATGAATGGCTTGATGACGATTCGCGGGAACCTGTCGCGAGGTGGTGGTGGTTGTCGTTTCCTTTGGTGTTTCTTCTTCTTTGGGGGTAGCAGGGGGTTCAGTGGAGGTAGGAGAAGGAGTGGGTGCTGGGGTAACGGGTGCTGGGGTAGCGGGTGCTGGAACAGAACCAGAGCCGGATACCTCTTGACTGTTTGATCCCCACAGGAATCCATCAATGGGGACCGTGATAAAGATGATAAGCACCACCACAATTACGCACAAGGCCGCAAGCAGCTTGGACAATTTGGCGCCCTTTTCTGTGACTTGCATACCCACCACTGACGCTCCGAAGATGTTTTCAGCACCACCCCTTTCACTTTCAGGAGCTAGAAAAATATCCACCATACTCTTATGACCACTCCCCTTGTCGAGTGTTTCCCTCTGACTGAACGAAATCTCATCTCCAAAGTTGATGCTGGCGTCCAACACATCATCTTGCATACCCAGGCCGGCCAACCCAGCAGAATCCGACCATCGGTAGGAAGGACGATACCCCGATCCTACCACCAACGAGCTCTTGGTAGAGAAGGAATTACGGTTGACTCCAGTGTCCATCTTTGATTTATCCTTCTTCTTGCTTATTACAAAAGAAACACAGATACTTGGTAGAGACAACAACAGTAAATTTGGGACTTGGTGCTCGATGGGGAGGGAGATGTGCGGAGAGGGTTGAAAAACGGGTTTCACCTTCACGTTCTGTTACGGGCGGCTTACCAGCCCATCTTTCAATTAAAGGTTGATCGTGGATTCAACTTGACACTTAATGAGATCAATGACATCTACGTTCAGATGGGGAAAGCAGTCATGCTTCGCCAAAATTGACTTAACAATGGGCATAAACTTGGAAACCTCCTTCCTGGTTGCTAAGTCTGTGGGCTCTTGAATGACTTTCGTGGCCAATTTTTGGATGCCAGGATACTGCAGTAAGGCAAAGGCTTTCAAAGATCCAGGGGAAAGCAAGCAAAGCCCTCACCAGCTTCTTGCTCCTAATGCTTCATGTCTCACAGGTATTGCGGTGTGGGATACCAGCTGCGATCTTTGCCAGCTCCCGCACCTTGCATCTTCACTCTTTCGCAACACTCTCTCACTTGGCTCACAATTCTATTGGATCACCAATTTTCTTGCACAATCAAAGAAACTTGCTCCATCCGTCCATCATCTATCCAAAGCACGTGAATCATGTTCAAGAAACTCTTCTTCTTCGCTGCCCTGGTTGTCGCTGCTTCAGCCAACAAAAAGCCCGTAAGTGCCGAGGAACCCTGATCTTGAAACGAGCCCGCTTGCTCCATGATGATGGGCAAACAGAGTGTGAGGAATGCAAACTAACGTTTCCGATCTGATTTTACCTTGTTCTCGCTCGACAACAACACAGATTGCCAAGGATGACAAGATGGCAGAGCAACGTCGGTTGAAGGCACCCTCCCCCACTGGCAGCAAAGCTCTCCCCACTCCTGCTGTCACTGGTGATCCTCATTTTGTCATGTGGTCTGGTCAAAAGTATGATTTCCATGGAGGATGTGATCTTGTCCTCCTCCAGGACCCTGACTTTAACGATGGCCAAGGACTCTACATCCACATTCGAACAAAGATTGTCCGTTGGTGGTCCTATGTTGAGACGGCTGGTAAGTATCGCACCCAGCTACCAACGATGGTGACGTCCTCAAGCAAATGACAGACTTTGCCACAAGCAGAAGTCTTGTTCGCTCACGCCCTTTTCTCTGCACTGCACTTGACAACTTCTTTCAGTGGTCCAGATTGGAGATGACACCCTTGAGGTCATGGGTGGTATGGAGCCCAAGCAACACTGGGTCAATGGCAAAGCTGGTGAAAAGTTGGACGAGAGCAAGCTCATGTCCTACACCATCGGTGGCTACCCTGTGCGATACCGACAGTTGACTGACAAGTCCTTCCAGTTCAAGATCTTCTTGCCAAACGATCAGAACATTGTCTTGAAGGCGGTCAAGGACTTTATGCGTGTGGATGTGGAGAACCCCACTTCTGATTCCTTCAGCAAGAGTGTGGGTTTGATGGGAAGCTTCGAGACTGGAAAGATGTTGGCCCGTGATGGCTCTGAGATGACTGACGCTGATGCCTTTGGACAGGAATGGCAAGTACACCGAACTGAGCCCATGATCTTCCACTCTGTTGAGGGAACCCAACACCCAGAAGAATGTGCCATGCCCAAGGTCCCACAAGACCAGCGACGATTGGCTGGATCCATCTCTCGTGAACAAGCTGAGATTGCGTGTGCCAAGGTCGATGCTGAAAACAAGAAGGACTGTGTCTTTGATGTCATGGCCACAAGTGATGTGGACATGGCTGGAGCATATTAAGAGGGCGGCGTCAAAGAGAAGCAGTTCGCCTCTGCTCAATGATTACTCTCATCATGTGTGCCGTCAGAAGAAAAGACTCGACATCTTCATTATACTTGACGCTCTTTTGGAAGAAGGACATAGGCAGCCTTCTTTTCGTTTGATCAAAAGACGCGTCCATGGTGAGCTGTGATATACGTAGGTTTAAAATAGTCGAATACCATGTTATCGATATCATGTTCTCGTCATTGCTCGTAAGTCCTTGTTTGCGACTGCATACTAGACCAACAGGAAGGGAGGATCGAGGAATGGTGGGAAGAACGGCAAAGAAGGAAAGAATCGAAAGGTACCGTGCTGGTGAAACAAACAGCAGCGCAAGGTGGCATCGAGTGTCCAGCAGCAACCGAGACGGTCCGGCTGACTGTGGAGTACCGTCGGAACCGTGCTCCAGTGCGGCGAGCCTAAGCCATCTGCAGGATGGTTGCCTAACGAGCACAAGCACAACGAACGAACAAACTACGAACCAAGGGTTTGCTCCCATTTTGGTCCTCAATCGACTGCGAACTTTGGCTTTCAAGTATCACCATCCACAAGAAACGATCAGCATCAACATCGCATGCTATTTCGACGACAACTCAGCGAACAACTGGATCTGCTCACGGGTGCCTGCCTGGGGGGCATGGAATGCATCAATGACACGCCTCTGTCATTTGTCTACATGGTACATGTACGAACCTTTTTACTCCTCTATCTGTTCCTCTGACACATGCAAACCGTTGCACAGAGTGGACGAATGGACGAGGAAATGAACATCAACCCAGCCAACCATAGAAGCAGTGACTCAGATTCAACCTTCAGTAAATGCATGATGCCGGCTGCACGGACTTCGAAGGCTCGGAGATGAGACCGCACTCCCTCCCCGTCCGAAGAAGCCAAGCCAACCAAAGCCAAGGAACAACACGGATGTCCTTGCAAGGAACGACTTATTCAACCACTCAATCAATCAACAATGCTATTTTGTTGCCTAACCAGAGCGACTGCTCAGTTTTTACTCCACGCAGAGACAGTCCTGTGACCACCTGCAAGGGCAACCGGATCATTGGCCCGGTTGTCTACTTAGCTTGCTTTTTCTCTTCTAGAGTGAAGAATCCACCAGGGGCGCATCCATAATAACTCAACGATTTCTCATCCTTGAACGTGATGCCGAGACCGTTGTACGTGAGGCGCTGGTCATCGACTGCAACACCGGTTGTCTCTTCCAACGATTTCCTAATCTCTGAGAATTTGTCGTGGACATCGGCATTGATGACGAATGATCGATGACGAAACCTCACATTGATTTGTTGCATCTCCCCAGAAGGTTCTGCTACTGGTTCCGGTGGATTGTCTGTGTTTTGTTGCGTTGTCGCCGTCAGGTTTGTCTCATCGTCAACCCGTGCCACTGGACGATCCGATGGCACGTCGTCTTCATTAACGACTTCATCATCGTCTTCATCAGAGTCAATTTCTTCCTCCGTGTAATACTCTTCAATCTCTTCTGGTTCGGCTGCAGCGGCTTGTTCAATGGTACCAAATTCAAAATCCAGTTGGATGCCCATGCCCTCTTGCTTGCCATCACCAATGAAGACAAAGGGCAGATCCAGAACAGTTCCGGAGTGACAACAATCAAAGAGGCAAGTCATGGTGACTCCTCCCTTCATGGGGCAGACTAAATTGCGGAACAAGTAGTCATCTCGAATATGCCCACTTCGTTTAAAGTCCACTGGGATCAACGTTTCGTCAAAGCCGTCCTCTGTTTTCCAGTGTCAAGTAATTGTCGCATCGTGGATTGGAATGATGAATCAATATCCAGGGCAAGAGATCAGGCGAGATCACATAATAATCGAAACACCAACAGAGATGATTCTGTATCTTACCTTCATCTCCATCAAAATCTTTGACCTTTCCACCATGTCCTGAAAAGTGAATGAACACAACGTCTCCCGGTTCACTTACTTGCACCATCTTTTTTAGGGCTCTTGTAATGTTCTGCCGTGTTGGTCGGGTGTACTGTGGTTTTTCATCCAGCAAAAGTGTAATATTTTCTTCTTGGAACCCATGAACGTCCATGATATATTCTTTCATCTACAACATGAGGTACAATGTACAGTTGAATGGGACGAAACATGACAGAACATGAGACGGGGCAACACATAAACTCAATTCGCCAGGAACCAGGATAGACATACATTCTTGACGTCATTGCAGCATCCAGACAGCTTGCCCTCTCCTTTGTAATTGATACCAATCTTTCAGTGCGTGAAGTGAATGACGAGGAAGATCGACAGTGTAAGCATGGATAAAGACCAGGACCTGGTTCAAAATGGATTGCCAATCCTTACCATGACGGCGCGGCGAGTTCCGGTAGATCCCTCTGGGACGATATGAAAAGGTTGCTGCATATCTAGGTTGTGCGACGTGCTCAGTTGTGGGACCTACAGGGGAAGCAAAACACATCTTTGTTCAGTAAAATCCTCATACCATGGGCTGTAAGCCCAAAATTTCTCGCGTGCTGTACTGTACCTGCGAGAGACCAATGCCATCGAGACTTTCCCTCAATTTCAGGAGAACATCTTCAAACGACAACTCGTAACTGGTATCTTTATGATCGGCGTAGAGGACTTGCAGCAGTCCACTGGTACAAGCACCACCGGCTCGTCCTGCTGGATCCGGCAAGTTGAAATTTGCGACATCCGTCATGTCTCCACTCGTCTGAGCATCTTCACAACCAGAGAACAATCGCACGTCGGCGGCAATCACCTCTTTGGCTTTCTCTTCGATATCTTGGTCCGTCATGTTACTGTAGTCGCTGCTTATTCTTTGGAACAATGGAATGTAGCTGCCGTGTGGCCTGAGGTGAAGACAGAAGACTTGAAACTTGAAGACAGGGTTGAAACAATCCAAGACAAAGGGGAAAGCGGAAGCCTTCAAAGGGGAAGGAAGGGATTCCGTGACCTTGGCAGCAGAGTGGTACGGTAGATATATATGTTCCGGTGCCTTCTTATGTTGTCCTTAACCTTATCGTAGATTTGCTCAAGCAGGGTTGGACAGTGATCTGGGACTGGGACTAACCATTCAGGCACTTTCCAAAACTGGAGACCAACTGGGCTTATGTTTGCATCAGCTAAAAGCCCACTGGTAATAAGTACACACAGAGACATTCTGTGTGCAAAGAGACATCCTTAAATCCGATTCCATGCAGTATTTGGGATTGTTTCTGATCACAAAGTCAACCCTTTGCAGCTTTCCATCTCGAAACACACCAACTTGCTCATCAAGAGGGACCAACTGCCGCCAGAGCTATTCTGCTACCATCCATTGTATCTTTTCTCAAGCAAAGCTTTGATGTCATGAGTTTCGACGATGATACGGTGCTTACAACTTTGGCCCCGTCGCTGGTGGACGAAGCGGGGACTGACAATGATGACTGGTTGGAGTTTGTTCCCCACGTGGCGATTATCTACCTTCCCAAGGTTGCAGCAACTCTCAGTTTGGTGGGAAGCTACTGCATTATCCGTGAAGTAACAGCGGATATGATCCGAAATCAGGCCACTGTCGTTTCGCGGGTTCTATTGAACATTTGTCTGGCGGACATTCTATTCAGCTTTGGCTGGTTCCTGACGACATGGCCAGTCCCCAAGGAACTCCCATACTTGAGAGATACCAATCATGGTACCGTCGAAACTTGTGAAGCGCAGGGAGTCATACTGGAACTAGGGGGTGCTGGATCGGGCTATTTTTATGCGTTCTTGGCAACTTGCTATCTCTTGATTGTGAAATACAACTTTCAAGAAAAACGATTGCAAAAGGTGGAACTGTGGGGGACAATGATTTGCTGGTCGCTATCGTTGGTGGGGACTCTAGTTCCACTGCCACTGGGAATGTATAACTTTAGTTGGTATGTCTGCTGGATCCAGGCACATCCACTCGGTTGCTCGGAATCATGGCAGGTGGGAAAAGATGAATCTACTTGTGAGAGAGGAGACAACGCCTTTCTGTACTCGATCATTGTTCAAGTCATACCGAGATGGATTTGCTTCTTCACTTGCGTGATCATGATGCTTCTCATATTCTGTGCAACCAGACAAGCCGAAAGCCGGAATGCCAGCCACAGGAGCAGATCCCTCATCTTGGGCACTGGTAGTGGCGATGGCATGAGCACAACAGGAGTCAACTCCAGCATTACGAATGAAGTGCCTCCGATCTTACGAGTCAATCGGAGACGTTCCAACGCCGTTGCAGTACAGGGGATGCTCTACTGTTGTGCCTTGTTTGTCACAATGGCGTCCGATCTTATCTCTTTCCTACTCTCCACTGCGGCGGGTGTGTGGAGTGAAACATTCGATATCATTGCCTACTTCTTCACCCCTTTGGCGGGTTTTCTGAACTTTCTCATCTTTGTCCGGACGCGAAAGATGAGAACACGAGAGGGGCAAATCTTACAATCATCCGTGATTGCGCTGTGGCGCCATCTCCAGAGGATATCAGTGCTCCTGCATCGCGCATTCTGGTGTCGATCACTACAATCATCATCGCCAGCTTCGTCGTCATCAGCGAGCAACTCTGGCGAAAACAATCCTCGTACCAACAGCAGCGGTACTTCCAAGGCAGATTGCGTCATTGCAACGTCCGAGTGGATATTGGAAAACGACGGACCAGAGGACAACACAAGCGACGTCAGTGAAACAGCAGGCTTACATGCTTCTTGTTCGTCTAGGCTGGAGACGTCCTGTCTCGCCGGCATCGGCTTCTTTGAGGAGACCCCGGACGAAGATTGCTCAAGTGCTCACTTGGAGGGTTCTGAGGGAGTTGTGGCGTCCAGAACTGTTGGCAATGGCATTCTGCCCGGTTTTCACAGGCACGCCGTTAACGATGGTCCATCAGATTCGATTCCAGTGGACGAAAGCGAAATGGAGGGTAGAGCGAGTGGAGATTTTGATTAAGCCGCTCAAAGAAACAAGAAAACGAAGCTACTGCATACGTTCACACAAGTACCTGGAGTCTTCCTGTGAGAAGTCTGGTTACAGTCTTCAGCTGGACAAGCACCAGCCAGGACCCACTCAGGTCCATATCCATGCCCCACTAATGCTACGCGTTGACCGAGCACAGGAAGCCTCCATACAAAACACTGTGTCGATTTGATGCCGATATTAAAGACCCTAGCTGGTCTCGGTCCAAACAGCTGGACGACTGCGTGGCTGGAGCCCACGACGACCGCATACATGCCAGAGCTTGCCCTACAATGGATGTTACCATGACTATGAACTGCTACTGTACCTAGCTAGCTAGTACAACTACAACTACTATAAAGAATGAAGCCTTGATTTTTGTTGGCAAAGATTGGCTACTATGTGTTATTGTTCTATGTCTATGTTTGTTTGTATAAGATTGTAGCATCAACAATGATAGAGGTTGGTTGTCAGGTGTCACGGGTATTAACTTTGGACTTTCGTCGCGTGGAGGACGTTCGGACAAGCACTCTGCAATAGAGGCTGCCTAGCACAGGAACCACAAACCTGGCTACCTTCGATGTGACCCTTCAATTGAACCAACTGTATTCATCTCCGCAAATTGTTGTATAGCCCTGCACCCCACCAGATGCTTGCTCTTGTGTATTGTATTGTGTTAGTAGTCCCCGCAATCCGCCGCCGCCGCCCCCTTACTTACCTGTTTTCCTAGACTGGAATGTACCGGTCAGGCTTTCTGACTTGCCGTCCAGAAAGAGTTGTTGTCTGAACTATTGTTTGCTGCTGTGTGTCCGTCACAGGTTGTGTCCTCGTCTTCTTCTTGCCCTTCACCTTTGGCTTTGTCGACTTTTTCTTGGTGCCCGCCACCCGTCTACGTTTAATTCTAGGTTGTTCAACTGCCACCCGCCGTGGCTTCGTCTTGATTTGTTCTGCGATTCTCTGAGATGCAATCGCCGCCATGCGTCTCTTTGATCGTCGCAATGTTGATTGTGCTGTGTCCACATTGTCCTCCTCATCGACTCGGTTGTCGACCAGTGGTTCATCAGCATCAACTTGTTGTTCCTCGACCTCGACCAGTGGTTCTTCAGCTTCCACTTGGCCAGTCACGAATTCGAAATCCGTATCGTCCGAGGCAACGCCTGCCTCCAATCGTAGTGTCTTGTGCTGCCGCATGAATTCCTTGACAAGGTCTCCACAATCCTTCATCAAGGCTGCGAGAATGTTGTTGGGTACCACTCCAAGTAGCACACCAGTCATCATTCGCATCTCCAAAACAAATGGTTGTTGTCCATGCACACTGATCTTGAAGTGTGCCACATGCCACTTTTGAACGTATGGGACCACTGTTGTGCATGTGGGAACCACCGCTGCTTCGCATGTAATTGTGGCATCGGATGCCATCTTGTTGTTGTCGTCGACGATTGAGACTTTTTCTATTGTCTCAACGCCTTTAGTTGTTGTTGGTTGTTGTTCTACTACTATGGGTGCTGCATCTTCCATGCAGACGTCCTTGACCTTGCGATAGACAAATCGCCGCTTGGCAATCTGTTCTCGCGTATTCAAAGTGCAAATTTCATCGTTGGCGTTGCGCTGAATTCCACCGAGATGCAAGTGGCACATGGCGAGTTCGAACATGTAAGTGCTCTTTTCGTTGACCATGAACCAGTGCGAGACTTGCTTGTCGTTTCCTTTCTTCGCCTGGATGAATTTGACAAGTGCCTCGAGGTCTTGATGCACGGCATCAATTTGAATGTACAGTTTGGCTTGTTTTAGGTACGCTTTGTCGCTTTGGAACCATTTGTTGTTGGTGGTCCATTTGATCACTTGTTGGTATCCGTACTCTTGAATCAGCTGCACGAGATCCAAGACGCGTTCGTGGGGTGTGGGTGTGCCGACAGAAATGAATTGTTGTTGGGCTTCATGCCAGAATTCGTATTGGGCCTGTGGCACATGTTTCTTCATGTCTTGATAGACACGGCTGTTTTCCTTGTTCGCCCTCTCAGAAGAGTATCCCACTACAGTGTTACTATGGTTCCTGGAAGTTGGGGGGGATAGAAATGTTTCGACTCGCTGACAAGCAAGGAGTCGGGGTGATCAGCAGTTCTTAAAGCACTGGAGGACAAGGTGCACTGACATTGGAGACCTAAGTGAAGTCACATACGCTGGTTGCAATTCCATGCCGGAATTGGCCGGCCAATCCTTGAGGATCTCGTAAATCGATTTCATTCCCAGTCGGGCTTTCCAGTGCATGCGAAGGTTCCTTTAAATCCATTGGAGGCACGATTGAAGTGATAAGCCACATTCCGCGTTGCAGCGCGCAGCGCCGACTCCTATTATGGACTGGGTGGGGTGGTTGGAATTTCTCCGAGGAGACCTGAAACGGATCAACTATGTGCGTCTGTACTTCCAAGTTGTCACGGTGGCTGACATCACAACGGCATGTGAACATACATCCGGAGGGTTCTGGCATGGGTTTTCCAGTCCACTGATGGCTCGCACTACCTACTTCAAGAGATTTCAAGATAGACCCAGGGATCCCAGACTTGGTGGTTGTGGAGAAAGCCTTATCCCTGTTCGCTCCGAATTGACGTTGGATGTACCCCTGGGGAGTGGCTCGTCTCTGCTGACAAGCTCCGCATGCGACACAGGTTCTTCTATGAAGTCGATGCCAACGTCGGTTATCAACAAGTTGACAATGAAGAGTCCGAATTCTGGATGTTCCAACATCCAGTCCGAGAACAAGGAACGGACAGTTCATCGCTGGGAGTTCGAGATGAGACCTACCTCGACGCCAGCATCCTACACAACTCGGTGCCACTGGATCCCCACTTCCCCGATCTTGCACATCTGTCCAGCCAGCTCTGGAAAGCGGCGAGTCGTAGACCTGACCCTCTTCAACAAGCGTGAGACAGTGGTAGTTGGTAGTGGTTTCACAGCAGGCATTCCTCTCGTCCACTACCACCCAACCGAAACATTTGGGGATTTCCTTGCCACTTTGGAGCCTGGGAAACAGCTCTCTATGCCGAGCTTGAATGGATGGTGGACGC